ATTTTGCATTCTTTTACAGATTCCGTAAACTCTCAATATACAACATTCAAAATTCCAAAAACACCTTATCGACGCACCTCATCCCATTGACCATCGCTGGCCCATAGTGCAGGTCCCTGCACAACGTCAAAGTCAAGAAAATGCCGCCGGATAAAGTGACGCCATTTTGTCGAATTTCCATCACTTGCTCATGCAAGGCTACGTATTTATATTTTTATAATTGTTAAATATTTTAGACTAGATCATTGTTTATGGTTAGGTGTAAATAAACATTATCTGTTTTTATCGATTTTTTATTGTTTTCAAATAGAAAGAAGTTCAAAAAGAAATCAGAACGGATTTCACAATAAACAATTTATTATTACGTATATGTTATAGAAGGTTTTGAAGCTGAAATATTAGCTTCTCTTAAACGTTCTTCATAGCAGTGATACGAATTAAAAAGTTCTAGTTTTGTGTCAAAATAATCTTCTTTTACTTCATAAATCATTTGTATTTCTGCAAAAATTAAACTGTAAATAGAAATTACCTCTCTAGTTAAGATGACTAAAGGTTTGGGTCAAGGATATAGTTTATTATTCTCCCTATTTAAGATTTATATAGACATATCCCTACAGAAATGGGCGAGGAAATGCCGAAGCATTTCTGCACTACAAAAAACAGTCACTGCGGAAGAAAAAGACGATCTTCGTTATATGATAAGGAAATTAAGAGAAGACTACAATGCGTGGATATTGCTTTGACTACAAAACACTCGATTTGAATGAGAAAATGAAAAAATTAAGGTTGTAAAAACCTACTATTATTTAGGAGTAATTTTCAATACTAAAGAGAAGAGTAAAGATAAAATTAGAGCGAGAATGAATAAATGCGTTTTTTTTTTCACTATTTTCTCCAGCAAACGTCAATCAAAACGAAACAAAAAAGCATATATCTATAGAAATATTGTACAAAAGACAGTTGATGTCATGTTAATGAACACTTGATACGTGTACTTGAGAGATCCCCTAATCAGCGTGACACATAAAATGGTTAGTGTTAGAAGTAAAGAAATTTATAAACCATAAAACAGATTTGCGTCCATCAGAAACAGCGGTCTCATTCAAATTTCGTCTCTGTTGAACGCGAAGCTCCCAAAATGCAAGTTTATTTAACTGCTAAAGAAACGCCTTGTTCGAGTAGACAAATTGCGGACAAAGTTGAGCTAAAGATCTCAAACTTATATCTCCAACAAAAAGCAACAGTACGATTAGAAAATGAACTGTCCGAGATCTTCACAGTCGAAAAATGAGTTACACAGGGTTGCATATTGTCACCGGCATTATTTAACATATACTCTGAAAACATTAAAAATAGCCAACTTACCACAATGTAGTCGCCAATATCTCTGGAAGATAGGCACATTTAAAAGAAGAGGTCGTATTTGTTATCTACACATTTTTAGACAAGGAAAGAGAAAGGACACGTAACGCCCATTTAATAAACCTTTGCAAAGTAACAGTTTCGTTGTGACCGCTATGTTTTGGTGCCTGTACATTGTCCATTACTACCTCTCGCAGGTAACCAGGTCTACTATATCATCAAAAAAATTATAAATTTTGAAAAAATCTATTTATTGATATATATCCATTATTCTCAATCTACTAAAGAAATAAAATATGATCTGGCAATCCTTCTGGTGCCGGTTTAGGCATCAGTCAATTCCATACGATTACGCATCCCCTCTCTTTCCTTGTCTAAGTCAGTGGCGGCCGGTCAGGGTCGGCAGTGTCGACCCACATCTTTATAGATATTATAGATTTCTTTAATATTTAATTTAATCAGTATTTCAATAATAATTGTGGCAGGTAATCAGTTGATGTCATTTGTTTTTGTGAACTAAAAAAATATCTGTGAGATAATAAAGACTAAATTTTATTTATGGTTTTTAAAAGAATTCGACCAGACTAAATTTTATTCATGGTTTTTAAAAGAATTCGTCCAATTGAGCGTTAAATGATCCCTGCGTAGACACTTTTCAAATAGATGATTCGATATCGGAGACATCCATCCGCCTATGAATTCTTAAAAAGGCACGTTTTGTTTTTTCGGCTAGCCGATCCCAACCTTGACTTTACTTGTAAAAATCAACGGAATATTGGTTGATTAGCAACCAAATATACATTTCTTTCCTTATGAACTTAATTACCAAGTACGGCAAATTTAAATTTGCCGATGTTTCATTTGGATTGTTGATTGGTCGCGAACTGTACATTGCGAGCGTGAGACGAAATGCTATTTCATATAAAAGTGAAGTGATATTCGGTGCACGAACTAGCCTTTCTTTTTGTGATTTATTTTTATTTTCTAAAGTAATACTGTGATACGTTACGTCTACCGTAAATAGTTAAAGGTTAAAGGGTTTTTTGACATATTAGAAGTTTTTTTTTTTAATTAAAGTGTAAACAAATTCAGGTAAATTAACCTAAAAATGCAAGCCATGGGAGAAACTGTAAATATTGATTAGTCTGATATTGTAAATTATATTTTGCATAATGGGTTTTCATCTATTCCATACGAATAACAAATTGTTATTAAAGATAAGGGACGTCCTTTGCCTAAAATGTCCCGGCTTATAAATATTATTTATTTATTGACGGATATATCATTTACAATATTATTAGTGCGGGTAAGGGAAGTAATAGATCATTTCCAGATAATTGGTACAGCAAGTACTCATGGCTTACCGGGAGTGAAATAAAAAACAAACTTTTCTGTTGGCCTTGCATTTTATTTTCGACAAATAGGGGCAAACATCAAAATCCGTGGTGTGAATCTGGTTACGATAATTTAAAGGAATTATTTAGGGCTTTACATAAACATGATATTTCGAAAGATCATTCTTACAGCCAGATTAAATTAGATTTATTTGGAAAACAAAATGTCTATGTTTCATTAGATAATGCCCAACGTGAAAATGCTATTAAACATAACGAAATTGTAAAAAATAATCACGCAGTTTTACGTCGTTTAGTTGATATTGTAATTTTTTAAGTTGTCAGGAATTATCTTTTAGGGGACACGATGAATCGGAGCATTCGTTAAATCAAGGTAATTATAGAGAACTAATAAAAATGTTTAAGAAATGCGATTTGGAATTTTCTAATTTACTTTCTGATTCGAAGACATTTAGCGGTGTATCTAAAACAATCCAATTAGTTACATTTTGAGTAACGTTATGGAATCTGAGATTCAGGAAACCATTTGCTTTTCACTAGAAGTAGATGAAACTACCGAGATATCATGTCATTCATAATTATCAATTGTTGTTCGATACGCGTTACGTGGTAATATCTATGAGAGGTTTTTAGGTTTTACAGACGTGAGTAAAAGCCATAAGGCAGAACATATTTTTGGTGTTTTAAAGGACAGATTAAAATTTTTTGATATCAAAAATAAATTGGTTGGGCAAACTTATGACGGCGCTGCCGTGATGTCTGGTGAATTCAATGGTCTCCAGGCAAAAGGTAAAAATTATTGCACCGCAAGGTTTATTTACTCATTGTCATGCGCATAGAATGAATTTAGTTTTGCAAGATACATGTAAAAAAATTAAAGAATGTCTTTTTTTGCCAGTTTTGCCAATCCGCCTTTTTTGCGGATTTGCTTCATTTTTCTCAAGCTCGTCTAAACGGACTAATGTTTTAGAACGGTTTGTTTCGAAAAAAATGCCAACAGTTTGTCAGACGCGATGGAATTTTAAATCTCGGTTAGTTTTCACTGTAGCAGATTTTCGTGAACAGCTTTTGGAAGTTTTTGATTTTATTATTGAATGTGACGATTTTGAAAGTGATGATATCTCGATCCGTGAAGCAATCGGTTTGAAAACTTTATTAAATGATACAACATACTTTTAAATATTTTTAAGAAAGTGTTTACCCAAACCGATTTGATATTCAGTGTTGTTCAAAATCAGTTAACGGACATTATTCATTCCAAAAATACGTAATGATAGTAATTTCCAGTATATACGCAGTGACGTTTTGGACTCGCTTGATATTTCCGAACCCCCCAAAAAACAGACAAATGCATGACACAGAAACAGATCTCGAAAAACAAGTATATTTTGAAATTTTGGATACTATTAATATGCAAACAGATACTCGTTTTTCGAATTTTGAAGATTTGCAAATTTTTGACCTCTTTGACGATTCAAAATTTAAAAGTTACGCCAAAGAATTTCCAAGATTTCCAAGATAAAATAAAATTAGAAAATGAATTCAGTTTTATATGCTGATCCAAATATTTTCGGAAGATGGGATAAGTTACAAGATATGTATAATTTTATATACTGCAATTCATTACAACAAACTGTTACCGAAATTAATAAATTATTGTCATTAATTCTCTCATTACTACCACCGTCTGCCTCAAATGAACGAGATAAAAGAATCAAAACTTATTGTCGAAATATCATGAAACAAGGAAGAATGACAAGCTTGTCTCAAATGTCAATAGAAAAAAAACTTTTAAAATCTCTCCAAAACTCTAATAAATTTTTCGATGACGTTATTACCCATTTTGCTACTTCCAAACAACGTAGACTAGAGTTAATTTATAAACATGTTTAGGTTCTAAATCTATAGGGAAAAACAAAAAACAAGAAAACAAAAAATCTCCTATGATGATTGAAGTTTTTATTAGACGGTATACCTATCTGAGGAGACAAAAAATACCTTGCCTACCTTGTCTCCCAAGCCACGAGCCGCCACTGGTCTAAGTACATATTACTCTCTATTGTAAAGCGGGTTGCATAATAATAGACAGCACATGCCAGCCTCCCGTGCAGATAGCGTGGTCAATAAAGAGCTATAAAGGTTAACTGTTGTTTTAATCATATATTTTTATATAATTCATTAATAATTCATGACCATCATAACAGTAACCTCTTGAAAAAAAAAAACATTAGAAACTTTATAAAAAGAGAAAAGAAGGAAAAAATAAAACTGCATTGATACATGTATTGTATAAAACTTTATTTTACTCTTTTAAAAACTAATAACTACGTGTGAATCCCATCGAATATTGCGACAGATATCAGCAAATTCCTTCGGGTAAAATGCAAATTAATCAAGGGTGAATTTTGGTTGCAAAACTTCTTAAAAGGTAAGATTCTCCGGTTTTGACGTCAGGATTATGGGAAACGTTCACTTCTTCGGAATTAGTTTCCTCAATGAGCTTGCTGAAGTCCCAAATCTTCAGTGTACAATCTAATCCGCCTTGAATATTGAACAAAATATAATTATTTGTCAATAAGGTAAAACAACTAGCAAGAAAAATCACATACAAGTTATATTCTGTCGACTACTTTATTTTTTTTTTACAAAACAAGACTTACCTGAGACTAAAATGTTGCCACACCTACTAAATGACATACAATGAATGGTCTTATCGTGTCCAACCATCTCAGCGACTAAATGCCCATGAGCCAAGTCCCAAATAAGGACTTTACAATCGGCGCCTCCAGAAGCCAAGTACCTGCCGCAAATACTGAACGCTAGAGAATAAATTGGAGATTTATGCCCCGTCATTATACGGACGTGATTGCCGGTGGTGCAGTCCCAAAGACAGACTCTGCGGTCACTCGAGCCAGTCGCTACGTAGTTGGAGTTGGGATGGAATTGAATGCACTAAAAAATATATGAAATGTGTTTGCTAAAAATGTGGAGCTAAAACTCACTAAATTAACAAATAGAATGTTACAGATTATACAGTGCGTTAAGTTTTTGATTAGGTATTGCACACTATACGGAGCGCTAAAATCGGCAACGTTGCAAATGTTCGTTCTCCGACCCGAAAATCTACACCGAAAGAAAATCATTTATTTTAGTTTAGTAACTCACAACAACGTTAGGGATGTACTTCTCTGTCGTCCGATCTCATGTTTCATTACGTAAAGCCGATTTTAATAGTAGGAAATTCGATAAAAATGCACTGACCTAATCGGTGCATTGTTATCGATTTTTATTAATGTGAAATTTTTTTTGTGGTTGAATTAAAAATAAAAGCGTATTTCTTTAAAAAGATAAAATAAAAAATGTACTTTGAAAATATTTAATTATTGAAAATTAAAATATTATTCCTAATAAAATAAAAAATAATTCTTTCTGACCTACAGAAATGGTTCAAATAGTTGACCTTCTACGGCTGAACAGTACCCCAATCTGTCATAAAAACTTCTGCGAACAGATGAAAGAGTTTTTGCTGTAACAAAATTGGAGACTTCTCTTATTCGATTTTTTAATTCATCCAAATTTGGGCTCTAGCCTCAGGATGAGCGTAGATAATGCTTTTTAAATGTCTCCAAAAAAGTCCATGGGTGTAAGATCTGGAGATTGCGCAGGCCACTTAATATCGCCTGTTCCACTGATAACTCGATTCGGGAAATATTGTTTAAATACTCCCTAATAATTCGATCGTTGTGAACTGAACAGCCGTCTTGATGAAACCAAACATTCTCCAGATTTACATCAGGAAGATTGAGAATAGCAGGAAGAACATGATTCTGTAACAAATCGAGGTATACTCTACTATCCAAGTTGCCTTCAATAAAAAATGGACCTATTATGTGGTCTTCTAAAATGCCAGTCCAGACGTTAACTTTTTGAGGACGTTGAGTTCGGTAAACAACACTTCTGTGCTGGTTTTCCCGCGCCCAATACCTCGTAATGGAAGGATTGTGTCTCCCTACTAACGAAACAGAAGATTCATCAGTGAATAAAATGTTTTTCATACAATTTGGTTCACTATTAGCCTTCGTTATTAGAGTTTCACAAAACTCCATTCTTCGAAAGTAATCGTCTGGATAAAGCTGCTGCGTTTTCGAATATTTAAAATTCTTGTAACCGTGCTTTTTCCATACTTTCGTTACAGTAACATTGCTAACATCAAACTCTCTGGCAACGCTTCTACTTGAACGTGTTGAATCTACCTAGATTGTTGCACAAATTTGTGTATCCCGGTATTCTCTTTCCTCAACTTTTTCTGCTAACACTTCTCGAGCGTGACATTTTCTGCAATTTTTAAGGCAATAGCAACTCTCAAAATTTTTAACAATATTATAAATTGACTGTACACAAGGAATTGGTCTTCCCTCAAAAAACACAGAACATAAATCTACACACTGTTGCGTAGAATTACCACTATAAAACCATTTTATTATTTGAGCTTTTTCCGCGGCCATATAAACAGACATGTTTACAAAAATAAATTAAAACTCTACGCTGTTATACCTTTAAACAACCACGGTATAATGACAATATGACAAATTTGCCGACGGGCGACGAGCAACGACGAGTCAACGAAGCAGATATGTAGTGCAAGTCGACGACGCGCAGTGTTGCCATTTATAGAATGTATACCTAATCAAAAACTTAACGCACTGTATGATAAAATATATATTAAAACTAGCTCTGTACTTGATAATACTCACATCTACATCGGAAAAATGCCCAGCGAACATTCTTAAAGGTTGGTAATGGTCCGTAGCCCACAACCTAGCAGTCCTATCATACGAAGCTGAAGCAAAGTAATATCCTAGCGGTGAAAACTTCACATCCCATACAGGAAACATGTGTCCCTTATACACAACCAAACAAGTCCATATTTGGAGACTCCATAACCGAATGGTGGTGTCTTCAGAACAGCTCAACAAAAGGGTACGATCAGGAGAGAAAGAAACTGAGTATACTGGACCGCCGTGACCGCAGAGGGTGCGGGAGGTTTCCCCTGAACGTTCGTCCATCATTCTCACCTAAAAAATGAGATTTTAGTATTCCAATAATGAAAAACGTAAGCATTGTATTTGTTTTTTCTTCTAGTATTATTTAAATCAGTATATTGATGCTATTCAAACAATGTGCAATATTTATATTAAATAAAAAAGTATTTTTGGCATAAAACAAATTGACGGCTAGAATGATTTGATTTTTATAAGTCTTCTAGTGATATTATTACCAAACAAAATTCAAAAGTGAAAAGAGGATTGAACAGTTATAGCCACTTAAATAAAAGCTTCTATATCGATAACTGAATTTATAGCTTGAACAATATTCACAGTCACATGAAATGAAATTATATCTAGTGAAGATTGAAGAGTAAAATATTAATTTACCTACTAAAACAGTGGTTCTCAACCGGTGTTCCGCGGAACACTAGTGTTCCGCGAATTCCTTCCAAGTCTTCCGCGAAATACTCGCAATCCTACATACCATTTTGCTAAATTACTCTTTTCAAATAAATATTTTCAAATTTTAAAATAGTACATTTTAATTTAATAAAATTCTGCAGCGTAAATGTTCATTTGCCCAACGTGACAACACCGCGTCGGCACAGTGCACACGTTGGATTTTATAAGCGCTGAGCTCCGCAGTGGCCACAGCCAATCTGAGTCACCCACGCCACAGTTTGCAACTGAATGTTGAATTTGTTACATTGCACAAACGTAATACGTGAAAATCGCTGTGTCAGTTTTTTTATGATAACGTTTACGTACGGCTTATCTATCAAAGGTAAGTAATTGCATATTTTATACAAAATGTGAAGCATTCATCCGCATTATTTTGTTTAGAGACGAATAAATTAAAATGGATAAGTTCCTCAAACTTAAAAGAAAAACTACTGTGGAACAACTCATAATTAATGATGATGAAGCGAGCACCAGCGGAGATACTGGAACTTTACGAAGTGGGGTTGATGACAAATCGAAGCGCAGCAAAAAAATGTTGAACCGGCAATATTTGGATAAATATTTGGATTATGGCTTCATTTGGACTGGGGAAGAAGACTGTCCAATTCCCAAGTGTATTGTTTGTGGGCAGACACTCGCTAATAGCGCAATGGCTCCGGCTAAATTAAAACGCCATTTTACTACCAAACACGCTAGTGTAGCTTAAAAAAATAAAGATTATTTCAAGCGACTTTTGGAGACACAAGCTAAACAAGTGAAACAATTTGAAAGGTCGCTAACAATTTCCGACAAAGCACAAATAGCTTCATATAAGGTCGCCGAATTAATTGCTTTGAAACGGAAACCACACACTGTTGCAGAATCTCTTATATTACCAGCATGTTGTGAGATGGTCAAAATTATGTTTGGCAACGATGCACAAAACGAAATACGGAAAATTCCTATGTCGGATGATACAATAAGAAGGAGGATTGTAGATTTATCTGCAGATATTGAGGAAACAGTTACAAATAAACTTTACAAAAAAAACTTCGCATTGCAGGTGGACGAATCCACTGATATTAGAGGCAAAGCTCATTTATTAGGATTTATTCGATTTGTCGACGAAGGTGAAATAGTCAATCAGTTTTTATGCTGCAGACAACTTACAGCACGTACAACAGGTCAGGATGTATTTGATTCCATAACGTCATATTTAGAGAAAAAAAAAATATATCATGGGACTTTTGCGTAGGAATTTGTACGGATGGTGCCCCTTCCATGGTAGGCTCCATAAAAGGTTTTTGTACCCTTGCAAAAAAGCGAAATGAAAATATTATATCTACGCACTGTTTCTTGCATAGAGAATATCTAATTTCAAAAAACGCTACCAGCTACTTTGAAATCTGTATTAGACCAAGTGGTTAATGTCGTGAATTACATCAAATCAAGACCACTAAAAACCCGTCTTTTTAAACAACTCTGCATCTCAATGGAATCAAAGTATGAATGTTTGTTGTTGCACACCGAAGTTAGATGGTTGTCAAGGGGCAAAGTATTATGTCGAATTTATGAACTTAGAACGGAGCTGTTAACTTTTTTCCAAGAAGAAGGTAATGACACATTTACCACATATTTTGAAAATGATGCATGGTGCACTAAAGTGGCATATTTGGCCGATATTTTTAATTATTTAAATGGAGTTAACTCAAGTATGCAAGGCAAAAATGAAAATATTTAAACATCCACGGACAAGCTGTCACCTTTCCAGAAAAAATTGTCATTTTGGAAGAAGCGCATTTTAGAGACAAATAAAATGGATATGTTTCCACTGCTTCAGAATGAAGGTGATGAAGATAAAGAACAAGAAATCACGCATATAGTTACAGAACATTTATCACTATTAGAGGAGACAATTGCCAGGTATTTTCCATCTCTGAACGTAGAAAAATATGACTGGATAAGAAGTCCTTTTAGCACAAGTAATACAGCCAATGTCCAGTTTTCTCTGAACCAAGAAGAAGAATTTATTTCGTTGTCATCTGATCGTACTCTGAAAATTAAGTTTTCAGAAGTGAATGTTCAGGAATTTTGGATCTTGGTCCAAGAGGAATATCCACTTCTTGCCAAAAAAGCGATTAGTATTTTAATACAGTTTTCAACGTCCTATTTATGTGAATTTGGGTTCTCATCTTTAACAAACATTAAAAATAAGAAACGGGAAAGGCTGCTAAACTTAGAACAAGAAATGAGAGTAGCTCTTTCCCACATCAGGCCTGATATTGAGCAAATTTGCAAACGACACCAGGCGCAAGTGTCTCACTAATTTAAAGTATTTACTCATATACTCATGAGAATTACGCTTTTGTTAGTTTTAAAAATGTTTTTTGTTTTTATATTTTAAGTAAAATTTTACAAATTTGAGTACGTATAATAAAGTTTATTACAGAATTTATGTGCTAATCCTAATTTGTTTATCAATATATGCATGTTATTGCTTTGGTGTTTTTTTTTTCGGTAATTAAAAGTGTTCCGTCGCCACAAAAAGGTTGAGAACCACTGTACTAAAACATAAAGCTACATGTACTTAATACTTTGGTATCAAAAAGATAGGTTAGTGGATAAAGATAGTGCAAACACTACTGAACGTGAAGCTGCGCTAAGGCGGAGTCAAAATTCACATACAAGCAGACAGGTTCTATTGTAAGTGGAATTATACAGTGCATAGTACAATGCGTTTGGCTTGGAAGCGGGGACTAAACCAAATTTCGTCTACTGCACCGTGGTCAGGAGTTCTTGCACTATCTCTACCAATATTTATTTTCTACCAGGTACAAGATCAAGCTGATTTTAGAAAGAGAGGTACAAAGGCTACAACTCAGTATGATAATATCATTGATACTAGCATACATCTATCATAAATTGCATCTGCTTATCTGAATAGACTATAAAAATGATTTAAAATGAAGCCAAGAATATTTATAAGTAACTTACCAATACATCTTCAGCTTCAATATTAACTTCTTCCAATTGTTCAGCACTCTTCATAGCTTTTAGTTTCTGAGGCACCAATGTCCATACTTTAACTATCGAATCATTAAAACCTACAGCTAACATACTAGAGTCTTCTGTGATTTCTGCACAACAAACTCTGAAATCAAAGTTAAGTGGTTTTCAGCTAAATTCAGAAACATTAAAAAATTACAATTCTCTGTTCCAAAATTTTCCGATTACATTTAAAAGAAATTAATTTTTAAGAAAAGTATTAGGACTGGATCTTTCAGATCATGAAAAACCTTAAATTTTGTTTTTTAAATAACAAAAATTGTAAAAGGAAAGTTATGTTTCTATAATATTACTTAAAATATGTGTCTCTATTATATTTAACATTTCTAAAACATATACTTACGTATAATTGGCATTTAACAAAGTGTAACAACAACAGGAAGGTAGTAATTCTGCTCCTAGAGTAACTCTTTTTGAAGCCTCACGATTAGCTTTAAATTTTTCTGTTCTATCATTGTCCTTCCTAAAATAAAAATAAAATGGAATTAAAGCTCTGTGTAATTTCTTTAACAGAATTTATGACACTGGGATATTACCAACTGATTGGTTAAAGTCGACATTTGTCACAATACCTAAGAAACATTGTCCAAAGACATGCGGTGACTATCGGACAATAAGTCTGATAAATCACGTTTTGAAGATCTCCCTGCGAGTAATACATAGCTGAATTTACAAGCTGTTAGAGGACAGAATTAGCAATACTCAATTTGGGTTTAGGAGTGGATTGGGTACAAGAGAAGCCTTGTTTAGTATACAGGTGCTAGTACAGAGATGCAGAGATATAAATCAAAATGTGTACATTTGTGCAATTGATTTTGAAAAGGTTTTTGATAAAGTCTGACATAACAAAATGCTAGAAATACTGGAAACAGCTGGATTGGACGATAAAGATCTATGAATAATTACAAATCTATACTGGCATCAAGTGGCAAGAATAAAGGTTGAATAAGAACTGTTGGATGAAATAAATATAAAAAGAGGAGTGAGACAAGGCTGTATATTGTCGCCTTTACTTTTTAACTTATATTCGGAGGAAATATTTAAGGAAGCCTTAATGGAGACAACCGAAGGTATTATTGTGAAAGAAGTAACCGTCAACAATATTAGATATGCAGATGATACCTTAGTGCTTGCTAATTGCGGAGAAGACCTTCAAAATCTAATGAACAAAATGACTTGTGATCAGTATGGATTAAAGCTCAATGTTAAGAAAACTAAATATATGATAGTTGGCAAACAAAATTATATACAGGATGACGGTATAAAAGTAGGAGATGCCACACTGGACAGAGAAGAGAAACTCGTGTATCTCGGCAGTAATATCAATGAGAGCTTGGATCCAACCGCAGAAATTATTCTCTCTATTGACAATTTATATTTGTATGTAACTTGTGAATCCTGAGAATAAAGCTTTTTTCTATTCTATTCTATTCTATTAAACGCTGAATAAAACAAGCCCAAGCTGCCTTTGTAAAAATGAGAATCGTGACTGCAAAGTATGCATATATACATATCATAATAATGATAGAAAATAATAAAGAAAGAAAGCATTTGATTCAATGCTGCATGAATGGCTTACAGATATATGTTGGCTTATGCTTGTTAAATACAATGAAAATATGCCAAGTACAGAGATCTGGAAATACAAATAAGGAGACAATGGAGAATGAAAAATACCCAGACGATACCTATAATTCTTTCTAGTACTGGAGTCATTCCAAAGAACCTCCTTGAAAACATAAAAAAGCTGGGTCTGAGTTAATATCTCTATTTTGGAAGATACTCCAGCATACGAAGTCATCTCGATAACACAGAAAGAGCACCAACAGAACTCAATCCTTTTGATACCATAGGTATCATAGGGATGAGTGAATTTCCCCTTAGAGGGAGTGAGAGCCGTATGGCTAAATCTGGAGCAAGAAATTAATAAAAGTACATATTTTTTTAATGTCCTGTATAAAAATAGCATATCTTACCATTCTGGAGCTGGTATTCTATCTGGAGGTGGAGCATTGGGGTCTGACTTGGTCTTTTTGGAAAACATAGGATCCTTTTTTGCTTTTTTCTTTTTTGGTTTATCTGGATTGTCTTGATCAGCACCCTCTTCCTCATCTTCAATAGGTGGTGCTGTAATTGTGACTGGATCTGGACCCTTTGGAATCCCATAATACACTTTCGTTTTATTATCTGAAGGAAATGCCACATGCAGAATTCATATGCACATATTATAGACAAATAAATTGAACAGTATATCTTCTACAGTGGACAAAATTCAGTGAATACTTTAAAAATCTATTTCAATAAAGTACATTCAGTAAATATACTTCAATAAAGAATTTTATACTATTATACTTTATTCAATTTCAGCCCATTTTTGTTGTGCGAAAACCCAGTAAATCAATTTTAGGTTACACGAAGTACAACGATTTACCTTTTTGGTCGGTACTTCTGATTAGTTCACACATATCTGGACTTGATTATGGACGTTGCGTTCTCTAACAAATGTATAGTTTGATGTTGAATTGTTATTGTGATTCGTGCTTGTTTTCGAAATAAACAATTTGATTTTTATTAATTAGTAAAATGAGTAATCGAAGTAAGATGTTAGTGGAAATGGTCACCAAAAACCATTATTTGAAGACTGGTAAGTAATATTTTTTGTTATGTGTATAATTATACAGTTCCTAGTTATTTGAATTGTCATCCATTAAATTTAAGAGTAATTAGGTGAAATTGAGATGTTTTATTTTAAATTTACTTTATCTCAATAAATTCATTTTCGATATCAAGACCTAAAATTATTCAGTACTGGGGTGCAAAATTAACCGGACACCTTAAAAATGGGTCATTTTTGATGTCTCGTATCTTCTAAACCTGTTGTCCAATTTCAGTAATTTTTTAACACGTTATAAGTCTTTTTCTTTAAACAATATCGCTGTAATAATATTGCTAATCGGATAATTTTCATTGTATACCGGGTGTACCAATCAAAGTATGTTTTTTTTTTCTCAAAGTTTGCATCACTCTGTGAAATTTTTTAGCATTGAAAATTTTCTGGCATATAAAATACTGAAATTAAAATCCAACTATAGCTTCATGTTTTCTTAACGTTTGGTTTTTTGATTCATTCGCTTTACATTAGACCAGAAAAAAGTTTTATTACCACATCAGCCGCCAGATTACTCGTATGCGCGTTAATGGTGAATATTAAATTCCTACTTGTATGTCAAAGACTGTGCAATAGAACATATCTGAAACTTCTTCTGAGCTAGACGAAAATCAATGCCGGATAGCACAGAGTATATCAAAAATACAATGGAAGATGATGATTTTAACACAGGTGACTTCATTTTAGAATAATATTTAATGTATTAGTATTCTATTTTGGTTTTTATTTCAGAAGCTGAGGAGTCCATCGACAAAATTGATGAATTTAACGATACTACTTCTTTACTTGGAGGTGATTATTCTGACGTGGATCCAAACTACTGCACAGAGTTATCTTTGGATTTTGAAGATATTGTTGGATCTGAAAATGATCTCGTAAATCAAAAAAAAGTTTAACGTAAGAAAATTTTATACTCTGAGACGTCTACATCTTTGGTGACATTAATAATTAAAGACGTTTTATAACCAGTACTGCGTAAGGTAACAAAGCCGAAAAGGTGGCGTAAAAGTAATCCTACTGAATGGAAATTAAATATTGCGAAAACAAAGGCGGTCAGAAGGGAGCACATATATAACGAAAAACAAAACCAGCGCTCCCAAGGTACCCCAGCAAATCAATTGTGATAAAGGTAAATTTAAGTATACTGAAAAGTTTTCTGAAGATTATAGAAACAAACTCTGTAGAAATTACTGGAGTCTAGATTTTAAATCTAGAAAAAAAATTTATTTTACACAACATAGCTGTAAAACAAATTAGGACTAGACTTTTCCTTAAAACTTCCAAAAGAAAGGAAGGAAAATTTAGCAAGAAATGTTTTTTTTCCACTAGCTAACAACGAACGGATTCCAGTGTGCCAAAAGTTTTTTTACAAAAACGCTGTGTATATCCTAAGATGTTATACTAAATGCTGTAGCTAACAGTGATTCTATTGGTTGCTATTCTAAAGAAGACAATCGCGGGAAACCAGGAACCAGTTAACAAAACAAAGGCTGAAGATGTTCAATTTGTTAAAAGTCATATTGAATCCTTTCCGGTTATGGAATCTCATTATACCCGAAAGAAGACCATTAGAAAATACTCAGATCCCACTTTAATATCAAAAAAATGTACCAGTTTTTACTCAGATAACTGCATCGAAAATAGTGGAAACCTGTTGCTTTACGTAAATATCGATCTATTTTTTGTTAAGAGTTTAATCTAAGTTATCTTATCTGTGCCAAATATGCTAAGTCTGATCTAGAGCAGAGAAAAAATCTTGAAATAATCTACGAAGAACATAGAAAAAGAAACGAAATTTGTCAGGCCGCTAAAAAAATAAATAAAGACAAAGCAAATAAAGATAAGACATTTATGTCTGTAACATTGGATTTACAAGCAATTTTTACAAATAACCAAAGGATCTATTAGTCAATTATACTATCGTAGAAAATTTTCTAGTATACAATCTTACTATTTGGGAATCACCGCTACCCAAAAACGGCAAAAAGGGTAGTTCTGAAATCGGAACTTGTATGTATTACTATTCAAGTAAATGCTTAAGACCTGAGGTTAAGCATGTAACAATTTCTTCAGATACTTGTGACGGTCAAAATCGTAATCAATTTATAGCCGTACTGCTGTTGTGAATCGTACAAAATATCGACCAATTGGAAATTATAGAACAAAAGTTCTTAGAAGCAGGACATACTTATATGGAAGTGGATGCTATGAACTCGGCAATAGAATCTGCAAGTAAATATGTAAATGCATAAATTACTGGAAAAATATATTTCAAACAGCAAGAAAACAGAAAATGACGACAGTAGACAATGTGAAACATAATATAGGCCCATACAAGGTAAAAGAAATACAATATAATAAATTTTTAGATTTAAAGTCACTTGCAGCAAATATATTGCAAAACAGAATAGTAGATTATGTCGGTAATACTGTGCAGTGGTTAAAATCAAGAGACTAAAATATATTAAAGGTGAAACAAGGAAAATTTTTATCAACTACGATCTCTCAAAAGAATTAAAGTGTTTAAACATATCAGAAGATATTGGTTTGAATTAGTATAGTATTAGTATTGGTATAGTTTTGAATACAAAAGTACTCTTTCAATAAGCGAAACAAAAAAAGTATTTAATGAAGACATGCCAAGAAAACATTTTTCCGGAAGAGCTGCATGGATATCAAGTTTAAAAACAGGGAATAATGTCGTAGATCGAATTCCAGACATAATAATGGAAGAAAAGATGTTACCCTTTAATTTCCTAAAAGGAATGTAGATTATTATTTGTTTTATTTGAATAAAATACAGTTCATTCTCATTATATAATTGACAAAATTCAAAATAAAAACCAATAAAATGAATTGTTGTACTCATTCAGCGAGGAAAAACCCGATAAATATCATGTTTTATTTTTTTTTTGTAAATACGTTTTAATAAGTTAAACTAAAAATAAATTATTCTAACTAAACATTAAATTCTCTACTGTTTGGCTTTAACAAATATTTAAAACAACTTCCGGTGACGATTTTAAAGCCTCTTCAATGTTACGAAAATCTTTAATCGCGATTATCTCCGAACAATGATTTTGTTAGTTATCGGGTTTTCGCTCGAACCCCTCGATATACAGTTTATGAGAAGATATTAAACACCATATCAAGCATACCACAGGGGCTAAAATTTATTGAATAGTTAAATATCTAGAATTTCTTGATGATATATGACAATATATTAAAATATTAAACTTAGCATATGGTAAAAGAAGCTGACGAGATAGGAAAGAAAATATAGGAAAATAAAAAAAGGACAAAATTTACTGTATTTTGTAACCCACACTATCAGCAAACTAAACCTATTACTGTAGTTACTTACGCCTAGATATTTCACCACCCATAGACCCTGCAGTAGAATCAATTTGGCTTTTATTTCTAGCAACACCCTCATACATATCAAAATATAAATGATCCTGTATTATGTTTAGCAAAATTAATGATTTTTTCTCATTTAAATGCCTCTTTAACAAGGATAAAGTATCTCTAGAAATCCTTATAACAAACTGGTTGGACTTAAAAGTCTCTGCAATTTCATTTCCAGTCATATGCTCCTTTTTCATTATCATTGCTAGCTTTTTAAGATCATCATGGTAATAATAATCTTGTTCAGGTCCAAATTTCTTCATTAATTCCATTGCTTTATTAGAATGATCATTGTAGATTAATTCTAAAAGAAGAAATAAGTTATTTAACAATTCTTGCTCCTGTGAACAGAAAAAAACTTACCTAAATACATGTGCACCAAAACTGGAAACAGAATAGATCCCAATTCGTGTTTGTAAATATCAAGTGAACTTTCTACAAATCTTTTCAGGTCTGTATAAGCTGCTTCATATGCTTCTGGATCTCCATCACTCTTATACCCGGTTAAGACGCTGTTAACGTCTGAATCGTGTCCTAAATCATTAGCAACTTCAGTGAAATTTGCTTCTTTTCTAAGTATCTCTTCAGTGCCCTATAACAACAAATAATGCAAATTCTAAATATTTCAGAATAATGTATCTAGGTTACCTTTAAATTGTACTTTTTAAGAACTTGTAGAACCGCGGATAATTGGGTTTTATCCATTTTGGTTTATAATAAATATTTCTAAAACATATCTTATAATTATAAATAAATGTTTACTGTTTTCATTGAGCGTTACTAATGATTGGTTTGAGAGTTAGGTTAAAAACTGTCAGTCAGTGTTAAATGTCATGTCAAACTCTCAACTGTGTACTGTGTATGCGCCACTTTCCAACAACACAAATTACAATAAACTTGACACCACCGTCCACCACAATTAATAGAAAGAGATGAAACAAAAACAGTAGGTGGTTTATATTGCTGGATTTAAATTGGGTTGGAATGTATATTATACTGTAGTATTAACTTTAAAAATAATTTTAAAACATCTGTAAACCCAATTAAAAACGTTGATTAACATCGATAGACCATGTTATAGTACCCTTGAACTGAAAATTATGTTTAAACCCTTAAAGTTAGGTTATGTTTTGATATTACTGCTCTTCCTTGGCTCTATTGCTATTTTATATCAAGTACAACTAACAAAATTAAGCGATAAATTACAAGAACTAGGTTAGTATCATTGATCTATGAAAATACAATGTTTACAGTTTTGTGTGAGTTTTGGTTGAATTATTTTTGTGTTGATATAAAGTGTTTCTAATTATGTATTTAATAGTATAAAAGACAAGATATTTCCAAAGCTAATATAGATTTTATGGGCTTATTGGCTTAGTTGTCCACAATTAATATGTATTCTGCAGCTGTTTTTGTTCAAATACAATTACCATTTCAGCTGATTGTACTTTAGACCTGATGAATAGTTATTTAATGTATTGCAATAAAGGAAATAAACCTTTTTTTGTTTTATAGAAGAAAATCAGAAACAAAATGAAGCATTTACTCACAGAGAAAAACCTCTTTTGGAAGAAAAAGACTTAATTTTATTATACAATCGTGTCCCAAAGACTGGATCTACAAGTTTCGTAGGAGTAGCTTATGATTTATGTAAGAAAAACAAATTTAATGTTCTCCACGTAAATATCAGCGCCAACAGCCATACCATAACATTGGAGAACCAACTGAAGTTCATACACAATGTAACAAATTGGAAAAGTCGAAAACCTGCACTATATCACGGACATTTTGCTTTTTTTGACTTTTCTAAGTAAGTGTGATTTATCGCATGAATTAAAGTTACCTTTTTAAAAATTTTTGAGAACAAACCACAGATTGTGGAGTAATTCTGTATTATTTTTTGTATTTTGTATGTTAATTGAATTGTTTTCTCTCTAGCATTTTCTGTATATAATTCACCTTTTTTTTATAGATATGGTGCTCCAAAACCTCTTTTTATCAATTTAATACGTAAACCACTTGACAGGTTCATATCATACTACTATTTTGTAAGATATGGGGACAATTTCAGACCATATTTAGTCAGAAAAAAGCATGGTAATACAATGGTAAGATACTTAATAAATTATACTTATGTGATTTCTTAAATAAATTAATTTGTAGACATTTGATGAGTGTGTTGCCAAGCAATTGTCAGAATGTGATCCAAATAATATGTGGCTGCAGATCCCTTTCTTTTGTGGACATTCTGCAAACTGTTGGTAAGCACAGTTATATTGTTAAAATGGCATACGTATTGCTGAAGTTAGTGATTAATTATTTTGTAATCATATTCTGTATTTTCCCCATATATTCTTGGGTATTTGTATTTATGACTAACTGTGATTTTCTATAGATATAAGACCACATATTTATGCTCCACAATGAATTTGACTGTTAATAACAAAGCTGTAGTTGCCTTTATACAGTATTGGAAGATTCAAAACGGAACATACGAATTATTAATACAATTATTAAGATCCCCTGACCTGCAATTACCCAGTGTAAATTTCAATATAACGTCGCGATGTCTTATAATTAATTCATTTGTTCGACTGGATTGCTACTCCTTGGCGATTTCTAGCAGCTTATTCGACAGGTGTACGTCGACACTGTTGTCTATCGTCCACTGATTTTCTGTGTTTTTGTGCAGATAATAACAATGTTTTATTAATAACAATTTTTTTGTATTCATTAGATATTATTTGAATTGGTTAGTGTATAGTTTAATATATTTATTATTCCAAATATTGTTGATAATTTAAAATTTAAAAGGATGTATATGATACATCAAAATCTACAGATTTTTGCCGAAGGTATCTATAGATTTGGCAACAGTCCCAAGGAACATCACTGGCCGAGCAAAACAAATACATGCCCTTTGCTTTGCTTCTCATTATAACGCCATAAGCTGAAATAAAAGTAGTGTTTCTAACCATAAACCATGTATACAAACAAAGAAAAAGTACAAATTTTAAAATGGTATTATGGGGGCAACTCGTACGGTGATATCATAAATTTATTTACTTGTGCGTATGAAGCTAGGCCAATACCGACACAATCAACTATTAGTCGTATTATTAAGGTGCGCACGTGCGCAGCAGTCGAAAAATATCGACTGGAGAAGGAGTCCAGTCGAACAAATGAATTAATTATAAGACATCGCGACGTTATATTGAAATTTACACTGGGTAATTGCAGGTCAGGGGATCTTAATAATTGTATTAATAATTCGTATGTTCCGTTTTGAATCTTCCAATACTGTATACTTACACAGCTATATAGAATAATCTATTATCATAACTGTGAAAATTTTTTAGAGCTGTGGGAAAGATGCCCTTTTAGGAAATGTCTCTTGTATGTTTAATAAAAAATTTTAGATGCATGCATTAAAGAAACCTTTGACAATTTCTTTCACCCAGTTCTTACTGTGTTATTCATATTGCAAAGTTGCTTTTTGTTCTACAACATCTTCAACATAAAAAAGATGTGGTTTGTAAAATTGTCTTTTTTTAGGAAACCAGGCAACAAATGGGCTCTCAACGAAGCCAAAAAGAACTTAGCCAACAACTATTTCCTAGTGGGTGTTACAGAAGAACTAGAAGACTTTATCCAAATACTCGAATTATCCCTTCCGAGATTCTTTAAAGGTGCAACTGAATACTTCCAAAGCAGCAACAAGTCACACCTTCGACAGACAGTGCAGAAAGACTTGCCAGCTAAGGAAACAATGGATAAGATCAAGAGCAGCACCGTCTGGCAGATGGAAAATGAGTTTTACGAGTTTGCTCTGGACCAGTTTCACTTCGTTAAGAGGTTTATTAACAAAAATAAGGGTCAGAATGTGATGTACGAAAAAATTAGGCCCAAGATATGAGATAGGTACTTACATTCAATTTTCTATTGAGATTGTGAATTAAAGATATTTTGTATACTTATTTCTACTTATTTGTAGACTCTATTAGGTTATATGTAAATAAATATATATGTTACATGTGCAGTGTTTTTTATTTTATATATACTAAGTATGTCTGATAAGTTCTTGGCATGACACTAAAAGAGATCATAAGGTCCCCTCGAGTGATTTTTCCTCTTGCAGTACCCATTTTGATAGAGACCATATAAATTTGCAAACCATTTCAAACAGTAGTTCACTGGTGACACATAATGTGAAAGGTTTTATTAATATTTACGACATGTTAGCTCTTAACCAATCTGACAAGATGGAAAGATCTTTTTGGAGAGTAATACATTAAACCAAAGTTGGAGTTAAAGTTAGATTCTGGTTAAAGAATGGCGTATCCAATGGAAAGCAGCCATAAACCCAGAGAAAACACAAGCAGTTATTTTTAAAGAGAGAAGAGATAATCCAGAAGAGCAGCTGACAGCGTAAAACAGTCCCATTGAATGGAAAAGAGAAGTGAAATACCTAGGAGTCACAATGGATCAAGAACTGACATATATGCAGCACATATCCACGCAACAATTCAAAAAACGCCAATGGCCAGAGCTGCAATAAGAGAACTCACAACTAGAAGAAGATAATTAAGAATGAAAACCAAATTAAGATTGATCAACAGTATCACACTACCAATAAGTACCGGGTGGTCCAATAAGCCGATCTCTCGGCTATATATCAGAAACTATTCATGTTATAACTTTAGGAGAAAAAATTCCTTAGTAAAAGTGGCCTGCGAAAAAATTTTGAAAACCAGTTTTTTGGGAAATATGTCCAATTATACCAAGTGTTAAATAAGTAAACTAGAAAGAGGCATAAATTCTGCACAAAGTTGTTCAAGTACTTTTTTTTATTTTTTCAAATAAAGGGTGGGGGAGCGTGGGAAAGTATTTGTGGATAAATACCTATAACTTTGGTTTGGATCAACCGATTTTAACAAAATTAGTGTCATTAGAAAGAGTATGGATGAGTTAATTTACATCTACTATAAAATAATTGCATTTAGTTTTAATTGTCGTAAGTAGAGGGTACTTTCGAATAGAAAAAATTAAAATTTGTTTTTCTTCAAAATTTTTAATGGAAACACCTATTTATTGTAAATTATAATGGAACTGGATTAAATTCGTAACAAAATGGCGCAAACCGCATGTTAATAGCTTTTATAGAACTCGAGATAAGTAAGTATAGTATTGACACACCCTGTATTATAAAATAAATTAAAAAATAAGTCAGTAGGTACTTTCAAAATTTTTTATAGCAGAAAACTCTTAATATTGATACCTATTTTGACCATTGTTATTTCATATGATTAAAAATTGTTTTTTCGAAACTAAGTAGGCTACGACAATGAAATTTGACAGGGAGTTCATATTGTTTATTTATTGACAGCAGTCAAAATATTGTTAAGAAGTGTTATATACGTATTATAATTTGAATTGAAAATTGCATTTTTTCAATAGATATTAATATTGGTAATATTAGTAATTAATTATCAGTACTAATAATTCGTGATGAGTATATCAATTTGTAGGATATGATTGGAGTTTATTTCGAATATCACCAAAATGGTCCTATAGCCTCACGTATATATTCTGTAAGATATCCTGGCAGGAGATATTGTGGCAAAGAAGTAGAGATTTCGGACTACGGATTCTGTTGAATTAAAGCAAGAACATTGATTGAATTATCTTCGGTCATAACTCTACTACGACGTTTAAAACAAGGACGAGAAAAACTACCAGTTTCTCTTAATCTTTTTTCCTTTCTTTCAAATACTTTTTTGCCATAATGTCTCCTGTCAGGATATCTTACAAAATATATACGTGAGGCAATAGCGGCATTTTTGTGACATTCGAAATAAACTCCAATCATATCATACAATTTGATATACTCATCACGAATTATTTGTACTGATAATTAATTACTAATATTACCAATATTAATATCTATTGAAAAAAGTGCAATCTTTAATTCGAATTATAATATAGCACTTCTTAACAATGTTTTGACTGCTATCAATAAATAAACAATATGAACTCCCCGTCAAATTCATTGTCGTAGCCTACTTAGTTTCGAAAAAACTAGTTTTTACAAAATAGGTATCAACATTAAGATTCTTCTGCTATAAAAAAATCTAACTTATTTTTTAATGTAATTTATAATACAGGGTGTGTCAATACTATACTTACTTATGTTTATGAGTTTTTATTCATATCTCAAGTTCAACAAAAGCTATTAACATGCGGTTTGCTCCATTTTATTACGAATTTAATCCAGTTCCATTATAATTTACAATAAATAGGTGTTTCCATTAAACATTTTGTAGAAAAACAAATTTTAATTTTTTTGTATTTGAAAGTCCCCTCTACCTACGACTATCAAAACTAAATGCAAGTATTTTATAGTAAATGTGAATTAATTCATCCACACTCTTTCTAATGACACTAATTTCATTAAAATCGGTTGATCCAAACCAAAGTTATAGGTATTTATCCACAAATACTTTCCCACTCTCCCTCACCCTTTATTTGAAAAAAATATAAAAAAACCACCCGGTACATATGCATCCTTTGCATGGGGACATAAGTACTTATATTACTTACATTAACAAATAAGGGCAACAGATATAATGGAAGAAAAAGCCAGAACAAAATTCACTGAGCTAGAAAACCGCCCAAGCCCGAAACTGTGAGAGATATTAAGGTATGATGTGTTCCATTGATGGAAGCTTTTCTGGCACTGGCAATGCACCAACGATGTTTTTATGTTTCAGACAGCACTCAAAAAATGGCAACAGATGAAAAAAGTGATACATATGCACTAATTTACCCAAGAATGTCCATTAAATATGCATTTTTTTTTTAGAAAATATGCATTTTTTTCAGAAAATATGCATACTGTCAATGGAAACATATACCTATTTAATAATAGTATATTAACTGATGTTTATCAAGGTACCACAGAAAAAAATCGAATGGTGTGATGTCCGGTGACTGAGCTGGCCATTCTATCATACCTTGTTGTCCAATCCATCTACCACGATATTCCTCATCTAGGTAACATCTTACTGCACCATAATGGTGTGCAGGAGCACTATCTCGTTGGAACGTTATTTCCAAGTTGCCGAATTAATCTGGATTATCCTCCACAATTTCAAGTACCTACCTATTAACGGTTCAATTATTAAATAAGGTTTATTATTCTGTGGTCATAGTATCATGAGTATAACCGTTCAAAAAATACAGGGGGGGGGGCTGACTTTTGACTATCACTGTATAATAATATACTTACATATTATCACGTGTCAAACCAGTGTCGTTGAGCCCTAACTCTATTACTCTATTTTTGATACCTCGCGTTTGTAACAGCTGGTAACTCTAATTTTCGACCATTTTTCTCAGGCAACCTTATATCATACTAAGAAAAAAAATAGCTTTAATTTGTTATAAAAAACATGCTTATTCGTCATGAGCACCGTATTTTATTTAAAAATGAACGAAATAAAATATTTGTAAAAAACTAATTAATATTGATTTAATTAAAAATATTTACAGCCAGTTTTTGACTGGCAACCTATTATCAATGTATTCTCCTAATTTTATACTTATGTATATAAAAATGTGAGTTCGATTAACTACGTTATGAACGTAGTAATCCTGCAATGGGATGTTGTATAATGTTAATCGTCAACGTCTGCAATAGATAGGGCAATAGAAGAGGAGGAATCATAAATTGCGCTATAACTTAATCATTGACTCAAAATAACAATTTGGATCGCTGCAATAACAGCAGCACTTTATTCTTCTTACTAAGAATTTTCTGAACAACACTCGTAGTAACGATTACTGATAAAAGATGGCACCCCGTACAAAGTCCTCGATCTACGAGGGTAGAATCAGAAAAGGTAACGCAAACCAATCGATTTTCTTTAATCTCTTATCTTATTGCTAAAACTTAAAAGGTTTCAATGTTTTCAAGCTAATCAGCTAATAATCGCTGACAGGTTGTAAGAATTTACATTTAAAAACCTCGAACACAGATAAGATTTTTTTTTATTATCGGTATCTACAATTAAATATTATCAATAATCCTCTTGGGGAAGATAAGTTATTCGATAACTATGTGGGTTGATAGGAACTATTCAACTGAGAATATTAAGTGAAACACAAAAATAGGTTTTGTGTAAATATTTTGTGTGGCAGGTTGTTGGAAGGGGTTGGTCGAAATGGCGAACAAACCCCGCTTAGCGGTGGTAAGTACTTTGGTTTCATTTCTGTACTAAAAAAACAATTCAACAACAGGTTTATTTGCAGTGATGATTCATATATGAGTTTTTTTTTCAAGACAAAGGTATACATTACCCAAATCGCTAAAGTCAAAACTATATTAGAAGACCGATATGTAATTAAGCGATGATCAGTGGGCCTCAAACAGTTGTTGCTCTAAAATTTAATTGCAATCAAGTAAATTAGTTAATTTTTCATATTTTGTATTGAGATAGAATGTTTGATTTTGTTCTATTAACGGAAAATGAACTGAATATAATATTTATATATAATTTATTACACACAATAAAATTTATTTTAATAATGACATTTTAAATATAGTAATCATTCAGTTTACTATACTTGGTAGATACTGACTACTAATTAAGATTAGCAAATCAACTAAACGCGTCTTAATTTTAAATAAAATAAAAAAAATTAAATATTAAATTAAGGTCACGTTAAGGTTTAAATGTCTGTAATATTTTCTTCAGCAAAAATATGGGGGGAAAAGTCTTATATACGTATTGCCTAATTGCCTAACATTTTAGCTATCGAATTTCACGATAAAATACTTAATAAATAAATCAAGAAATATAAAATTTTAACATTGAGTAACTCTTGAATATTTGGTCTTATTTGGAACTGGTAACTTAATAAGGCCAGTTTAATTTTTTAATAATTAAAGAATAAATATAAAGTTTAATGAAAGAAACTTTTAATCATATTAAAATCAAAAATTTGTAGTGAAAGTGAAAGTAATAACTGGA